GTGTAAAGACCAACGAAGAGGCGTGGATTGCCCCCTCTTTTACAATTACCTTTCACCTTCATTTTCTCGCTTATTTTTGCAAATACGAAGATACACCTTACAACATTTTTTATGTATTTTTTAATTTAACACAACTTTTGTTTGAAACTTTTTTCGATTAAATGCATAGATTCTAAGATACGGCCATTTTTACCCTTTTTCTCGTGAAGGCCACATCGTATTGCAAAAAAATTAGCACCATTCGATTCAGCGTCGTCGAGTTACCATTATATCAAGTTTTTGGCCAGGTACCAAAAAGTCGTCAGTTTTTCTTTTATTGACTGGACTAGTCTGTCGACAAAGACGCCGGTTTGTTAGCATAAGGCGATAGGTATTTGTTAGATTTTAAGTAACCGGATACAACGGACGAAATAAAGGACGGTGTGGATGCGACGAATGAATGCACGAGCGACAAAGGGCAGTGAGTGTTGAGCGATGTAAGAGAGAGGTTCTGCGTTGTGTAATAGATATTAGAATAAAACTGTTTTTTCCATTAAAAATCCTACATATCTGGAATGCCTAGCAATCAAAGAGGCGGTAAAATATTGGCAGCATTGGTTGCTAGGAAGAAAATTTGAAGTATACTCAGACCATAAACCACTTGAAAACCTGAATATAAAAGCTAGAACGGACGAAGAACTGGGGGATYTAGCGTATTACCTATCACAATATGATTTTACAATAAAATACATACCAGGGAAAAAAAACACAAAAGTAGATTGCTTGAGTAGAAATCCAGTATTGGACTCGATAGAAAACGAAGAAGAAACTTTAAAAATAGTAAACTTATTAAAATTAGAAGATATATAAGGAGGGATCAAGGGCAGAACGGCATAGGAAAGAACAAGAAAGATATAGTATTATGAGATGGAGTATATTACAAAAAAATAAAGAACAAAGAAAAAATCATTATATCAGAGAAACTTAGTAAGATAATTATAAAAGAAGTACATAAAGAATGGTGTCATATAGGCATTAAACAATCAATTTCCCTGGAAAGCGATAAGCGTTTCGGCTAGAGATCTGCAATGGATCTCACTGCAGTTATCCTAGATCATTCAGTTGAGAAGCATACTTTTTCTGAAACGAACACATCAGTAATTTTTTATTTTAGAAATGTTCATTGGACGGCGTGAAAGTACAATTAATAGTGAGAGTAATGATGAAAACGTTGTGAATTTTAGAAGAAAAGTCATAAATAGAATTTCGTCAAGTTCAGGCTCAGATACTGATGAATCATATGCAAGTAAAGATATTGAAGAATTATTAACAGAACTAGTTTTAGACGAAGAAGAGAAATTGGACACAGCTAATGATTCATTGGACAATATCCAATGGAACGAGTTCGATAGTAGGCAACAATCATTTCCGTTCACTGGAAAAAGCGAGCTTTTGTTGGATTTGCCGTCTGACATTAGCCCAGGTGAAGTTCTTTCGCTATTCTTGAATGAAACAGTAATAAGTCTTTTAGTCACAGAAACTAATAGATATGCAGAGCAGAAATTACTTGAACATGAAATGACTGGTCACGCTGGACAAAATAAATGGAATCTCACCACTTCTGAAGAAATTAAAAAATTTATTGGATTGATGATTTGGATGAGTCTACTACAAACACCGCTAAAGAAATGTTGGTCAACGAATCCTATATACAATTGTTCATAGCCGCGCAGCATAATGTCCCGCAATCGTTTTGAATTACTGCTATCAAACTTGCATTTTGCTAACAATGAAACGATAGTACAAAATAACAGACTTGGAAAAGTTTTACCACTTGTAGACATATTGATGGTTAATTATCAGAAGGTTTTTTCTCCAGGCAAAGAAATTTTTGTCGATGAGACAATGGTTCCGTGGAGGGGACGACTTGTATTTCGGCAGTATATTCCAACAAAGTCACATAAGTACGGTGTAAACCTGTTCAAACTGTGCTCCACCGAAGGATACACATGGTCTTCAAAAATATATTCTGGACGAGATACCAGCGGAAAAAGAAAAATTAGCATAGCAGAAAGTGTCTGCACTGAACTTGCAGACAAATTATTGAACGAAGGACGTACTTTATTTGTCGATAATTTTTATACTAGTTATGAATTAGCACTTAAATTTTTAAATTCTAAGACGCTTGTGATTAGAACGGTAAGGTGTAATAAAAAAAATATGCCAAGATTTGTAATGTCGTATCCGTTGAAAAGAGGTGAAATGGTGGCACGAGAAGATCATAATGGTATTGTAGTACTAAAATGGAGAGATGTTCGCGATGTCAGAATCTTATCCACAAAACATCCTCYCATCATGACTCGAAGCTCTGATTCTAYAAATCGCGGTCGTCCTTCGRAAATGAAGCCTTTGGYGATAAWAGAGTAYAATATTRGTAAAAGTGGCATCGACAGAAGYGACCAGATKGTGTCATATGCAACAAACATACGAAAAAGCATCAAATGGTATCGCAAATTAGCAATATATTTACTTTTAGGGACAACGATCGTAAACGCACATATAGTGTATCAGAGAGCTACACAAAAAAAAATAGAGATAAGAAAATTTCGTGAATTTTTAGTCACAGAATGGTTGTCCTCAAAAAATACTGTGCCCAACACTAATAAACACGAAAGAAGGAATCTGTCTCACCACTTAGAGATTCGCAAGAATCAGCAGGGCAAGCCTGTAAGAAGAATGTGGGTACTGTGTTACCAAAAAAAGAGGAGAAACGTAGGACGCCAACAAGCAAAAAAAAACCTCAAAAAAAAACGACAACTTATTGTTTGAATTGCCCAAAATCGCCACAGATGTGCTTGGACTGTTTCAACGAATATCATACGACATAGTATAATGTAATATCTTATCCTATATAAATTAATAAAAAATAGAGTGTTATTTGTGTATTTTTTAAATTTTCATGTTGTATATTCTATATTTATAATTCAGAACTTGTTCCAATAAATTTTTTTTCAAAATGCAACAGAAAATCATATTTAACTTGAACAAGAAAAGCGTAACCAAATGTGTGTGCCAAAATAATAAATTACCTGCTCACGAAAGGGAAAGCGAATGAAAATATTTAGGTGTCCGCTTTACGCTAAAGGGTTTATAATACTCACAACCTGATATAAATCATAAAGAAGCGTTAGAAAAACTAACAAAAGCGCTGTTAAAACTCCAACTGAGGCTATTTGGCCCAAGGCTGATGGTTCTACCATGATAATACTATCCACTTACCCTAGAAAATAAGCATAAGAAACTAGACCTATTAACCCAAGCAGCTGCAAGGAAATGGCATAAACTTCCGCACGATGCAATCAACGTCTACTTCCATTCACACGTTAAGGATAGAGGTCTTTCAACACTATCTATGAGGTAACTAATGCCTTTTCATAGGAGGCAAAGACTTCTAAAGTTTGTAGGAAAAAAAAAAGTAGCATTAAGCTCCTTCTTAAGCCTCGAAATCGAGCTTGACTACGACAAAACCATAAAACTTTAAGAGAGATGGGCTACCTTATTATTACACAGGTCCATAGATGGCAATGAACTCAAAGAATCAAAAGAGATTCAAAAACAGCACTAGCGGGTTGTCGAAGGAAACCATTTTTCAAGTGGTAAAGTCCACGTAATCGCTATAAAGTTGAGGATTAATGCTTTGCCAACTAGATCAAGAACGGCACGTGGTCGAGCAGCCGACCGCTCATGCAGAGCCAGTTGCAGAACAGTGGAGACATTAAACCATGTTCTTCAGCAATGCCACCGTAACTACAGGACCAGAGTTGAGAAGCACAACTCCATTACATCACACTTAACCCATTTGCATCAATGCGCGGAATAATCCGCGGGTCGCGACAGTCGACTATCACCAAGCGCGGAATAATCCGCGAGCCGCGACTGTCAGCTATCACCAAGCGCAGAATAATCCGCGAGCCTACGTTGTTTATTCTTACCAGTTGCAAAATATCCTTCAGTTGCATCATACTACGTTCAACCGCTTGTGAGAGCCTTTCAGTTCTTTGAGTTTATATACATCAGTGTATTCTAAAAAAGTTTTACTTTTTCTATGAAAACCTTTCAAACTGCCACTATCAGTAAGTGTTGCCAATCTATATTTAAATTTAAAAAATCCAAGTTTGGAAAGCAATCTTATTTTATAATATAATCTAAAATTTAGTATGCCCCAATGGATATTGAGTATCCTGATTCGGAATCAAGTAATGAGGTACGACGTCCTAAAAAACGTTGCCGGAGGATTTCGTCAAGTTCTGATAGCGAAAATGAACAGTGCAATAATTTTATAAATGAAGAGTACGTGTGGAAAGCCAAAAATCATACTCCGATTATACATCGTTTTACAAGTGAAGGTGGTGCAACTATAAATACACGGGGTTTATCAAGAGGGGAGGTTTTTGAACTATTTTTTAACACTGAATTAATTACAAAAATAATTGCCGAAACAAATAAGTATGGCGCAAGCGACGCAGACTTCATACCTATTGAAGGGGACGAATTAAAAGTATTTATTGCTGTAAATATTTTGATGAGTCTAATTTCCAAGCCCACGGTTCAAAGCTATTGGTCAACAGATAAAAGTATAGAAACTCCGTATTTTAAGAATGTCATGAGCCGTGACCGATTTATTTTTATCTCAAAAAATTTACACTTTTCCAGTACAAATAATCCTAATGACCCACTGTCTAAAATTCGAGAAGTTATGGAAATTGTAAAGAAAACTTTCATTCGCATGTATGTCCCAAATAAAAACATTTCCATTGATGAATCACTAATGCATGTAGAAGTCGTTTACATTACATACAATTTATTCGAACAAAACGTGCGAGATTCAGTATCAAATTTTATAAAGTCTGTGATTCACAATCACGATACATACATAATTTCAATATATATATATAGGAAAAGATAAAACTGCTACAGGATTTGCTGGCAGGAATGTTGTATTCAATTTGTTAAAAGAGAGTCAATTATTGCACAAGGGGTATTGCTTATTCATTGATAACTGGTACAGTTCACCAACATTATACCGAGAATTATATAAAATGAAAACAAATGTATGTGGAACAGTGAGAATAAATAGGAAAGAAATGCCTCGAGAATTAAAATCACACGTATTACAAAAAGGGGAAGCTACTATATTACTACAAAAGAGATGGCGGCGATAAAATGGAAGGACAAGAAAGATGTCGTTATGCTTACTACCATGCACGATTTAAGTTTTGTTGAAGCAGGAAAACTGTTGAGATGTGTACATTGTCTATTGCAAGGTTAAATGTATGTGCTGTAGCGCAAGAGCATGTGTTGGTGTGCTACTGTCCGTGAGAGAGACGCACACATGTAAGTCTCCCCACTCTAGTCCATGTAAGATTAGTATATAAGGGACAGCGATTAGCTGTATAGGGCTCTCTGTTAGAAGAATTACATAGTTAAAGTAAAAGTAATAGCACGTGGCACGGAAGAACTTGTAATAGATATAATATATAGATTTATTAAACTTTTACCACCCATATTATAAGATATTTTTCCTCATTAATTTAACAAAAACAAAACCGATATACTGGACAAAAGAATTTAAAACCAACCGCAGTAGTAGATTATAGTTGATGTTGGCGACCAAATGTTAAGCAAATTTCATACTGTTCGACGATGTAAAAAAGCCTATAAAAAAAATGTTTTTTTTATGCTATTGATATGATGTTGCTGAATACTTATGTAATTTTTAAAAATCAGAAGAAAGATCGAGCCTTCCATGTGTTTAAACAATTATTAGCCGAAGAAATTATAGATAAATATTTGCCCAACATTAATGTAGATAAGACATCCGTCAATGATTCCTTTACGAGATTTACTGGCAGACATTTTCCTGTACGGATACCTGCAACTCCAGCAAAAGGAAATAAAACTTCAAAACGATGCGTTCTATGCCTAAGTAAGTCGATTCGAAGGGAGACAGTCTTTAAATATCACATTTGTGATAAAGCATTGACCATTTTAAAGAATTCCACGAACGTTAATTTATTTTAACTGAAATAAGTTTATTTCATTTATTAAAAAATATTTGTTTTTCCTTTTGTGTAAAAAAATGTAAAATGCAATATAACACTGTGTATCAATCGTTTAAAAAGTACATTCTTACCCATCTACATCAAAGCGCGGAATAATCCGTGGGTCGCGACAGTCGACTATCACCAAGCGCGGAATAATCCGCGAGCCGCAATGCCCGTTACAGCACATACGACCGACCGCGCGTGGTGATACGCGTCAGTCGTTTGTTGAACGTCGCTGATGTTTCGATGCGGGAGCTTAAGTAGAGCGATGATGCAAATGGGTTAAAGAGAGCTCTGGAAAAGAAATTTGAAAAGGTCGAAAGGAGCCTCGATTTAAACACAGCATGGACTGCAGAAACCAGAACTAATAGCAAAAGGAGAAGCAAATGCTACTACAGTCATTGACGCTCAAGTGTAGTCAGTGACAAAACTAATCTCAACTTAGCACACAGAACAAAGTCAGATAAATACAAAGATCTTCAGCAAGCGATAAAAAACCGAAATTAAATTCCAAAAGTCTTATTCTTTTAAGCTACGTTCTCATACCGTGGCGTACGGAGGAAATCGTTAGCCGACCAACTAACAGAAGGAAACATATTCTATAAAAAGGAATTAAAGATCATCTGCCATTGCGGAAAATGGAAGTATAAATAAAATCTCGTCTGAGGACGGAGATTGGCGTAAGGAAGCCCGATCTTTTAGTCAAAACCGAAGACAGAGACTTCATTGTGATTGCACAGGTTGTGTCAGGTGAATCATTAAGCGGCAGCCACGAAAGCAAAATCGAGCAATACAACATTTCAACTGTGAGACGGACAGCAACGGATTTTAACGAAGTGTCTTATTCCTCCGTTGCTGTCCTATCCTGTACCTTGTCGGAGCAAGGTGTACGAAGCGGAGCATCAACACAATCTCTTCAATCACAGTTAACCCTTTCGCTACGGCAGTGTGCTCCGTCGGAGTGACGCCGCTGTACGGACCACCGGCACGTGCCGCCGGAGTAGCGGCACTGTACGGAGCGGGTCTCAGTTCAGGCATATGACGTCGTCTATAGGCGACGCTCGTACACACAGGACATCGCGCGGATGTCGCCTATAGGCGACGCTCGTAGCGAAAGGGTTTAACAAATCACTGAGGCTTTTATTTGAAATCAAAACGAGAATCCTACAAAGGTCCCATACAAACTGGACCCGTCAGGAACAAATGACAACTAGAGCGCCATCCTGACGAGAATGGTTGGGTTGAGTTAAAAACCCAAATCATTCCCTCTGGGTAACCAGAACCTAGAAAGCCTAATTCAGCAGCAAGAAATAGAGCCGTCACGTGTCTTCGAACGTGACACGAGAGAAGGTGGATTTTTGGTAGGTAAACCCTTAATTAGGGAGTTAATTAGAGCAAGTTTTCAAAAGTCCCGCCAGGGTGCCTATAACAGGTTTTCCCACCTACCAAAAAAAAAAAATAGCCAAATGCCTGGGTAACCTATGACTCTCTAGCAAAAGTAGTAGACGGCGGCGCAGCTGCATCTCTTGATTTTACTTAGGTTACAAGGTGCGCTCACCCCGCACATATGGAAATCTCGTTAGGCTTGCTGCTATATCAATGAAGAACTCCACCCTCTCCTACCGACTATAAGGCGAAGTAGTAAGCCTCCAAGATGGGGATATATCATTTTAGTGGCTTGTCCCGCGACAGCTTATCTCGTGGACAGCATAGTACCTTTATGACGCAGCTGCTAGTGGTACTAGTAGCTGGCTTTACGACACCACGGATTAAGAGTCCAACGAGGTAAAAGACAGGGAGCTGTCTGTAATGGCCTGGAAACCATGCCGTGCACTGTATACACAGTTTCGTAGTTAAGTCGTTAGCTCTCTTAAGGGCTGTCATTTGAAGGTATCTTACCGATTCGCCGATACAAGGATGAAGGACTAGGCTTTTTAGGGATCATAATTTAGCAAGTAGCTCCCTTTTCGTAGGTCCCGCCATAAGTACCTTCAGGAAAACTAAGAGTTACCGCTGCACCACTCGTCATGAGTTAATAACCCAGTCTCTTCCCTGCAGTGAGGGTGTAACGAGTTTATAACGAGGGAGAGACAGGATGTCCTCTTCCAGGCTATATTGGGCTGCCAAGCCGGCATAGCTTTTTCCTATGGACTCAAACGAAACAAGATTATTCATTATCAGCAGCGGGGAAACCCGTCTCGGATTACTGACCCCATAGAAACTTTACAATCAGTGAATGCCAAACCCACAAAATGCAAATTCTGTTCCGTCTACACCGCAAGAAGCAGCCAGTACTTAGAACAATACTGACTTGGTGCATCAATGTGCAGAATGCCCAAAGTCGTTTACGACAAAGCGAGGCTTAGTGGATGTGAGATCGACCCACTTAGAGGCGACAAATGCCACTATTTCCGACGAGAGAGTCAAGAAGCGGTGATCACCGGAAGAGCTGAGACTTCTGGCTCGTGTGGAAGCCCAAGGCGTCTCTAGTGGAGAAAGATTTATCAATAAATAGATTCTCTCTCAAGAGCCTGGCGACCGAACTTTTAATGCTATCAAGGATGTCAGGCGTCGGGCCAATTTTAAACATCTTGTCGCTGCTGCTATTCGGGAAATTCGGGCCGTTGAAAGTCAGGAAGACTTAGGTAATAGTAGTAGTAGCAGTGACACCGCTCGACCTAACCAAGGTTTGTCAGAGGACCG